GACACGGTCCGGTTCAGACCCGGTTCGGCTCTGGACCCGGTCCGGTTCTGGTCCCTGGACACGGTCCGGTTCAGACCCGGTTCGGCTCTGGACCCGGTCCGGTTCGGTTCTGGACCGGTCCTGCTGCACTTTATCTCCTTCCAGAATCAACTTGAAGCTGACGAACATCACAGCCGACTCTGCTGTCAGAAAGTGTTTCAGTGTTTTTTTCTCATCTGAAAATATATTTAATGCATCATAAAAGTTTAATATTTCTTGCTGGTCGTCTCGCACAGTGATATTCTACAGGCCTTTGTTTGTGAAATAATTTGTAATTTTGATGATTATGGGTAACTATAGATAATTTTCAGAAACCTGACTTTAGAGCTTAACATCTACTTTTGATTAGTTTGTGATGCTCTTATTTTCTAAGACACTTCAGGTTTTCTTAAATTGTGAACCATAATCATTAAAACTAACAAAATAAAAGCTTGATATATGTGTAATAATCTTGAATAAAATAAGATAAAAAATTGACTGACTTTCTAAGACGACTGGCTGGACATGTTGCACTTTAACACAATATTTTAATTTCTAAGTCTGAGATGTACTGGTGCTTAACTGGGTCTTTGGGTTCCTTGGTTCTGCTCCTTTGGAGGTTCCGTTATTTTTTATTCTGGATGTTTATCATGTTTATTCTCCCTGTTTGCACCTGAGAAACTGATTTAAAATAAACCTTGATTCAGAAAGTTTCTTTTTAAATGTTTTTTTTCCCCCTCTGTATCGTTGATGTGTTTAATTATTCACGGTTCTGCAGTTGTGCTAAGAATATTTCCCTCATGTAAATCAGCTGGAACCCAGCGGGGAGCTAATCAGTCACTCTGCACAGAAACAGGCAGTAAATCAATCATGGAGGCGTTCTGACTGGATTCCAGCACTCAGATGTCAGAAAGCTGCTTTTCCCTCTAATTGTGTTCAGCACAGGTAAACATGAACCTGAAAGCTGCGTGACAGGAACCGTCCTCACCTCTGAGCATGTCGACATGATTCATGAACAACTGCATCTTAAAGTCTGAAGAAGTCCTGCTCTCGGTTCTCTGAAGGGTTCAAGGCTGCAAAGCTGCTCTTCCATTCAGCTTTCAGAGGAAACGCTGCAAACCCCCCGCCGTGTGACGCCACGCTTTCAGAAAGTCTAACTGTCAGAAGAAATGTGCTGCCTGGATCATCAGAGGTGGAACAGCTAAAGGGTTGAATGAAGGCTCCTCAGACTTCTGACCGTTCAGCAACTCAAACATAAAATCTGAACCAGTTACTGGAAGTTCTAGCTGGATGTCAACCAGAATATAAAAATAATTTATCCATCATTATCCCGTTAACTTGCTGACAGAAGGCCGACACCGTTGGACCCAAAATCTTCTCTTCCTCATTATCGTGAATTTAGACTTTCCTGTTCTAGATCAGTTTGGATGAACAGAATTATTTTCGGTTCCTGTCGTTGTTTTGGCTCGGATCACTAGAAAGAGTCGGCTCTTCAGAGTTTTTGTTCCTTAATTTATGATCCAACAGAGAAATGTTGCAGAATGAATGAGCGTAAAGTGAAATGTGAAGTTTGAGTTTTAAAATAACATGAGTTTATTTAACTTTTGATGGTTACATTTACAGATTTACCTGCAGAATATTGATGGAATGGGAGCTTTTAATTCAGAAATCTGTTGAGTTTGTCTGAAACTTGTTTGTATTCAACCAGCAGTCAGAAAACATGCATCTGTTACAGTTTACTGCTCTGATGTAATGGGTTTCAAATGTTTTCTATGTGTTGCTCTTCTTCTCTGAAAAACACCAGCAATAAATCTCAGGCTCTGAAAGGAGTGAAGGGATTATTTAAATCTGCAACGGGACGTCCTTATTGTTTTAGTCTAACGTAGAAAATGTGATATTAGTTGCACGCAGAAAATGTACATTTTAACAGAATGTGTGGTTTATGATGGTATCAAGATGTAATGACTAAGCTCTTTGCTTGCTTATATTCTGTATTGTTCAGTGGACTGAGAGACTGCTGATTTTCCCCTCCATGTATGTGAAGCTGAGCTGCCATGACGCTGTGACATCATTCAGGATGACGCCCGGCAGACGGGCGTGTCGCCACACTGAGCTGTTCTTGCATGTCGATACACAATTCGATCACTATGTTGTTTTATGCTACCACTGCACATTATCTGTTCAGCTTTACTGCTTTTTGTTTGTTTTGTTTTTTTCAAAACGCATCAGAGAAATTTGAAAAATGCAGGAAAATTCTGTTTTTATTTTACAATTTTACAACTTTCTTTAAGTAAATGGTTCATAGTTGAGTAAGGGACTTGAAAGATAAACATGGTTGAAACTAGATGGTTTTTAAACAGAAAAGTGCATCTGACTGGTTGTTTTTTGCTGAAGGCCGAGCGTCTGTTTCTGTAGAGACCAGTTTGTAATTATCTGGATTCTGACCAGTAAATAAAGTTTATTTAGTCCAGAAACATCAAAACAACAAGGCGTTCATGATTTACATTTAAATTAAATCCAAGCTGAACATGTAATTAAGATCTGTTGACTTATATTTGTATAAATTAAAGATAAAAATGTATTTTTACAAAACTACTTTATGAATAAACTTATATTATTTAAAGACGGATCAAAAGACAGATCTATGGAGAGTGAAGAGTTTTATTAAAGTAATGATTCTTAAATAATTATTACCCAAGTTATTTATTGTATTTGACACTCTTCAGTCTCCACAGGAGTCGGGACAAACTGGAGCAGCAGTTTGGTGTTAAGCTTTGAAAATATAAAAAGCATGTTTATCCCTCATGTAGTTTTAGAGTTGAAAACAATTGATACACACACACACACATTAGTTTGTTTTTAGAAAAATGTACATTTTCAAAACTTAAAATTCTTCAGTCCTACATTATAAATAAAAAATGTTGCTGTTTCTCTAAATTATTCTAAAAATATATTAGGGATAGATGATGAATAAAACATATAGTGCTATTAATATGAGTTTTATTAGAGGTTTAGATCCGGACTGTTTCTTTGAAGTTGAGCAGGTTTTACGGCTTCATTTTACTCTGTTTGGACTGGAACATGTCAAATCTGGCAACAGTGGCGAATGGCGCCATTTTCGTTCTTAATGAGCGTGACGCGCATGCGCCATATTGGGTACAAATATGACGCAGCTTCCAGGTGAGCTTTTTAACAAGTTTGATGCGGCGAGCACGTGACCGCGTGAAGACACGACGCTGTCGGACTGATATTCATGAACTTTGGGACCTGGACCTTTAAAAATGATATTTTCTGATCTTCCAAGACGCGGAATCCGAGTGGACGCCCAGCCTAATGACTGAAACTTTTGAAATCGTGTTCGTCGAGGCCTAGTTACGCCTTGTACTTGACCTGAGCAGTTTGCGGGAACGCCATGTTTGAAATCGCTGCATTGGTTATTCGGCAAGTTATTTTTCGGAAACTTTATTCCAAGTTTCTTTTTCCACCGATGACATTAGTGATGCCATTTTTTTATGTGTGTGTGTCTAAACAGAGCAGCACACAAGAAGAGACCCGACCGTGGCCGCTCGGCGGCGGTTTGTTTGGTGACTGGCGTCCCTGAAACACCTGAGGCGATTTAATGGCATCTGGAGCTAGCAGTTGATCGATTATGGATATTCTACAATGAAGCTGAGGATTCCCTTCAATGAAGCTGAGGAATCCCTACAAGGTGCCTGGCGGATCCGCCCAACCCATCAAAGGTTGGTTAAGTCAAAGAACTGTTCCAATGGCGGATCCAGAAGACATCTCAGGGTAGGAGCTGTTGCGGGTTTTGCTGTGCTGCTGATGCTAACGCTGTTTGTTGAAGGCCAACGCTAGGCCTCCTGCTTCTGGTTTGGTTTGATTCTCTGCTGAGAGTAAATGAGCTGAGAAGGATTCTGCTGTTTTAAATCCTTCTGTCTTTGGGTTTTTAGTGCTGTTTCTTTGGTCTTATGACCTGTGCAGATTTAGGCATAACTAGAAGTGATTCAGCTTAGGCTTTGTAAATATCACTAATTAACCTGCATAACATACCTACTTATCAGTGCTAATCTAATGTGGCTATGTTGACATTAGTATGGCTCCATTAGGATAATTATCTTTCCAATGAATATCAAATATGTTTGTGGGTGAAGATGAGGTCTTTATGATACAATATAAATACATTTTTATTCATTTTTTTATACCTACTTAATAGTTTCATACTTTAATAACTCAATAACTCACACAAATTTACGTTCAATTTTAAACGTGAAAACGGATTAATTTTTGCGCCGAAACAACGCGTGGCCTCGTGCAATTTCGTCATGCGACTTCATTTCTTCTGGACGACAACAATGACGGGCAATGGAGAGATCTGGACCTGCAGGTCGGAGGTCACAGAGGTAATGTTCACACTGTAATCCACCATCTCTTATTCACAGGCTTTTAGCTGAACTCCATGTTTTCCTTCTGGATAGGACCGACTGGGACCTGGCCGTCGGTTTTTAAGTTTGTTTTAACCTATTTTTTTCTCCTAGACTATGCAACTGGTGGACCTTTTTTATTGCAAATAACTTTTTTTTTCCCCTCGTAGAGAAAGCCACCATGGGAGCCTCTACTGCAACTAACCCTCTTTTCTCCTATAGAAACACCTCTGGAGCAGCTATTTTTCTTTCTCTTTCTCTGTCCCTTTATTCTGTCCTTTCTAATCCCCCGGGGATCGTGACAGATGGCATTTCTTACAGGGCCAACTTCTGGTTCTGTTGGAGGGTTCTTCCTGTTAAAAGGAAGTTTATCCTCTTCACTGTCACTACATGCATCCTAAATATGAGGCATTGATTTAACCTATTTAACAGTTAACCAATTTAAATAATTAGTTCAGTGTTGGCCTCATTTTGGAAAGTCTTCCTGTTAAAAGGAAGTTTTTCCATTCTTATTACCACGTGGATCCTCAGTAGGAGGCATTGTTTATAGCTTATTTTTAATGAATGACGTAATTGGTGCAGTGTTAATTTTTTGGAAGTCTTCCTGTTAAAGGGAAGTTTTTCCTATCCACTCACCACATGTATCCTCAGTAGGAGGCATAGCTTAGGGTCATAACTTTAATCAATGTTTGATAACCAGTTTTTATTTATTTTTTGGAAAGTCTTCCTGTGAAAGGGAAGTTTTTCCTCTCCACTGTCATAGCATACATCTTGAGTACGAGTCTTGGCTTCAGCTTGCATAACTTTTAATCAACGGTTAATAACTGCAGTTTTTTTTTTTTTTTTGGTACGTCTTCCTGTTAAAGGGACGTTTCTCCTTTTGATACGTCTTCCTGTTAAAGGGATGTTTTTTTCTCTCCACTGTCACCACATGCATCCTCAGTGTCCCTGTTGGGGGATGATGGTTTTGAGCTCATGGTATATAGTGTATGGACATGGTGTATGGACCGGGAAGACGTGGTGTATGGACTGGGAAGATATAAAAGCTGATCAACATTTTTTGTTGAGATGGAACAACGACTCTGAAGACACTTTTCCAAAACAGAAGCTGGCCTATACAAG